ACTTGCAAATCAAGGGAAATGATTCTGCCACTCTCTATTCAGCACAAGTGAGGCCTCAGCTAAAGCACTGTGTCCATTTTTGGGCCCCACACCTCAAAAAGGATGTGTACAGATTGGAAAGAGTCCAGCAGAGTGCCAGAACTGATTAGAGGCCTTGGAGATGAGACTTGGGAGGAAAGGCTTAAACAGCTATGGTTATTTAGTCTGGAGTAAAGCAGGGTTTGCTATGTCTTCAAATACCTGAAGGGCAAATATAAAATGGATTGGGATGGGCTTTTCTCTGTGGCCATAGGGAACAGAACTAAGAGCAATGGCCTCAAACTCCAGCAGGGAAAGTGTAAGTTCAGATTAAGAGGAACTTTCTGACTATGAGGGTGGTTAAGCATTCATTGGAACAGGCTACCTAGAGAAATAGAACATTTCCAGGGATGGCAATTCCACAAAAGCAGGTTAGACAGACACTTGACTGGGATGGTTTAGTCTGAGATGATCCTGTCCGGGGCAGAGGGATGAACTAGATGACTTCATGATGTTTCCTTCCAGTCCTACTTTCCTATGATCCACTTTATTCATAAAATCACCATCTTAGCTGTCACTTAGACATGAAGTTTATGTAAATAGTCAGTTATATGAGCAGCTTAGTACAATCAGTGGACAGGCTATTATTCTTAATGATCCCTCGTCCTGTGGATTCATTCCATGTATGCTACGCAAGCGTCGGGCTGGGTCATGAGGACAAATACAGGCTAGTTATGATATGGAAAACAGTTGCCAGTAAGACTTGATTTTTCCATCATAAGGTGGCGGGATCGTGCATGGCTTGTTTTGGGGTGGCTTCTGTACTGCTCACGGGCAGCTCAGTTGCCCCTAATTTATTAGAAAGCCAGTAAAGGTTCACAGCTCACTCAAGCAGTTGTAGTGAAATCCAAGATGTCTGTTGTATTACCCCAAATATAAGCAGGGACAGCAACCACAGTTCTGCCTGTAATTTAGCTGCTATGAGCACGAGGAATGGTCTTCAGACTCAGGACCATAGTACTGCACTAAGTTAATACTTGGAACGTGATTAACGGTCATTAGGGCTATACAGTCTCTTCTCAACTTGTGAATTTCTTGAACTTGAATCTCTCCAACTGATGGTTCAGTCTCTCCCCACCTCAGCCACTAACCAGAATAAGTTTCCTGGCATCAAGCCCTATATTGTCACTGTTCTAGTGTCTTTTGCAGCTGTTTGAAAATGAAACTGAACAAGAGAGAAATAGATTCTAAAGAAACAGTTTTGGTTTCCCTCAGATAATTTCCACACCCATGAGGCTAATCAACGCTAGGGAAACTTTCTAAAAAAAAACTCTCATAGAGCAGCAGGAAACTTTCAGAACAGTTTCCTAGCACTATCCTCTGCAGATATGTAATTAATAAATAAATTAGCCCTTTGGGACCGGTAGTTTAGAGGCATTGATTAACTATAGCTCCATTTTTAAATTCAGTGAGCAGAACAAAAGCTTACCATGTCTGAAAAAGTGGGCTTTTTAAACCAGAGGACATGGTTCAGTGCATCAAGGCAAATGACACAGAACCATTCAAACGGTTTCTTCTGCAGCTTGCAAAGAAACCAAATATTTCTCATTTTAAATATTTGAAAGGCAGATGGCAGAGGCCACAAAGAGCTAAATACATAAAATCTAGCCATTATGTTGCATTTGGTGTATATAGTGACAACCAAAAGATCATTAATAAGCTAATCGTGTCAGTTTTGTCTTCACATCTTTGATTCAGGTTTTTTTCCTTTTTATTTAAACTTTTTTAGGGAGCAAAGATTAATTAATCTCCCTGCACAGTCTCCCTTACATATTCATCAGTTAATCAATCCATCAAGCTCTACACATTCAGTTGATGCAAGCAGTATCATGGCCCAAAATTTTGCCCTTCCAATTTGTATATGCAGTGCACAATTCCACCTGCCGTATTGGTCGGCTCTAATTTTGAAAGCAGGTAGTGAATAGAAATGGTCTGGCAACATGGTTTGGATGCTAAGTTTCACTGTACTATGTACCTGTAAGAGACCTGGGGTAGAAATGAAAGGCATGTTCACTGATGTGGTTAATAGACAGGACAAGCCATATGTTAGCTAAAACTAAACAAATACTTTGAGGTGACTTAGGATAACGCACGTATCTCTCTTAGCTAGCTTGGCTGACCTTTACAGAACATTGGCTATCATCAGCTTGAGCTACCTATCTATTTTTTATTATTATTCTTCCTCTTTTAGCCCCTCAGCATGTGCCCAATCGAGATAGCAGCCCCACTGCATGTCCTGTAGATTTTGTGGTGGCAGACTTGCTATCAGGGATTAGCAGAAGCAGCTGCAAGGGCAGAGTTGGAATTTAGCCTGTCTCTTAGTTGACACAGCTGGGGGTCAGGGTGGGGCTTTTTTGTAATCAGGGTCTTCACATCAGAATGTTTCACACTTCCTGCCCAGCAACTCAGCTGTTTGAGAAACCAACTGTTAACTGACAGATACCTCCAGTGCTGTGCTAGGCAGCTTACCCAAAGGCAGGGATGGGGAAAAATTTAAAATTCCATCTCTCAGGTTCTAAGCTAGTGGTTCTCAACCCATGCCCCATGGGCCACATGCAGCCTAATCAGCACACTGCTGCAGCCCATGTGACATCCTGTTAAAACATTGTTTAAAATAGATACACAGGAAATAAGTTGCATGGGTGACGCCCACAACACACTGAGAGCTGCAACTGTGGCCCACTATGGCGAATAGGTATTCTAAGCAATACGAACACATGACTCACTGTGTTCGTATTGCTTAGAATACCTATACGTAAATTGCCAGACATGGAAAGAGTCTCAGTGCAAGAAAGGGTGTTTCTGAAGTTATCCAAATAGAAGAGCTTCCTTGCATTTGCAATTGGCCTAGACAAATTGACGAAGAAAATAGTATAGGGAAGAGGTGTGATTTGGCTTGTTTCCATTTGCATTCTGTGAAATTCAAGTCTTGAAAGTCCCTGTAATCCATTTTATCGCAGTCTGGTTAAAGCTTTCCCTTGGATATTCTTTCTGGTCAACTTTAACATCAGCTCAGGCTAGGGTTACGTGTAGAGGTGGGATTTCACCATTAGCCTTTTCCCACAAGTATTTATATTCCTTGCACAAGTGTCCTTTCAACTCCTCACCTGTGACCTACCAGTAGCAGTTGCTGGTGGTTGTTTACATGTAACCAGGTGGCAGCTCTTCATGTGGAAAAGCTGCTCTTGAGTTAGGTACCCAAGGCAAAATTTCAAAAATAAGACCTCAAAATTAGGCTCCTAATCCTGTTTTAGGCACCCAAGACTGACTTTCAGTACTACTTGGCCTCAGCATCCTTTTGTAAGATGTGCATGGTGCTCAACACGGTTTAAGGATCAACCCACCTCTTCGGGAGTCTATCTTCGGTGTTTGCTTTTTATGATACTGACTTTTGCCCTCCATCCTAAGAACTGAGATCTTCTAACTAAATCACCACAGCTAGCAAAAACATAGGAAGTAGAGCTAGAAATAATCTTACGTAATTATATCCTCTGCTGTTTCCCCAATTTTATTACAGACCTAGACAATTGTAAATATGTTTAAGACTTAGCTCCAGTCCAGTGAGATTTTGCTTAATCTTACTTGTCAATTAACGCTCTCTCAGTCTAGTTGACATTAACAGTTTTTGCTCCATTAAAAACTTGAATGGATTTAGAGAGGGACACTAATTTAGTTTGTCATGGGTCAGAAATACAAAGTACTAGGACTTTGTCTTTTAGTCTAAGGAATTTCTTTGTCTATTAGTCTAAGGAATTTAAAATTAAATGTTTTTCATAATTCTGCAAAGTGCCAGTCTTGCAGGCAGGTTATATCAAGTTGTAGATGAAATTTCTTGATGAACAATTTTATAGAAATAGTTAATTCGACCCTGGTTAATGCTGAAATATTCAATACCTATATTTCTGCCTGGTTAGGGTCCTGGTCCCCAGTGCCACTGTGTGCATAGCATGTTCTGGGAACTGTACCAGGAAGCTTTTCAGTTTTAAATATTGGAAACGGCCAAAGTCTGCGTGTTGCCATTAAAATCACTCCCCCGGTAGCTGGATGAGAGGTGTATTCTAATAAAGGAAAATGCTAACCAGGAGAAAGAACTTATGCTGTGGATCCTAAATGTATTTTCATTGTGACCCTTAACAGCAACCAAGCTTTCATTTTATTTTACCTTCATGGGCAGTAGGAGTTTATTTATAATAGTTTTTATTATGTATTTTGGTATTTTGTGGCACAGAATAATTGTTTCTGTCCTTGTTTTTCTTTAATCTCCTGAGTACGTGAGACTAAGGAAAATAATTCAGTGACTATCCTCAGAAATCCTTGATAACTGATCTGTTCCTCCAGTTTGTTTTCAAAGTGCTGAAACTCCTAAACCCTAGAAACAGCTCTGTTTCAGTTGTATTATTTCTGTAGAGCTGCTCCATGGCTTTAATTAATCTTTCTTGCATAAGATCACATCTGCTTCAGTTGCTTTTTTGTTGTTTACTTGTCCCTCCCCCAACCTAGATATCATTTGATGAACAGGATTAGGATCTCGGGTGGAGAACAACATGCAATTAATTTTAAAGTAGCAAAGATCTTGTCTGCATATATATACCTGTAGTCATGAAGACAGAGTAAATAAGGAAAAGCTCATTTATGAAGAGCTTAAAACCTGCAGTAGCATTTAATGTAAAAAGTGCTGAAGTTGTAACATTTGCATGCCCTGTTCTGCTATTAAAATTAGACTCAGGAATGATGCATTATATCACAAGGGCTCTGTGTAGGAGAGAGTTTTATAAATGAGATCAAATGTTATAAAATCTATTTATGCTGAATGTGCTGTATTTGAAATTCTTTCTGATTAAATGATCCTGGCTGATTGCTCTGTCTAAATGTTTCTGTTTATATAGATTAATAAATACAGTCTTCTTTTATTTCTCTTTCAGGTGGGGTGCGTGGAATAGCACGAGGAGGCATTGCAGGCTTGCTGCTTACTGGTCTCTATGCTCTCTATAACAACTGGGAGCACATGAAGGGCTCAGTAGCACGACAGTCTCTCTGAGCAGAATTTATGAGGACTGGAGATAGGAAATGCTTATGTAGTTCACCAATCAAATTGATTGCAAAAAAATCAGTCTGTTGTTCCTTCATATTTTATATACAATGTGTGTGAAGCTGAATGGCAGCTGTTGTACTGTGAGAGTTTGACACCTTTTACTGGGACTGGCACTTCATTTCCAGCCAGCAGACTGCTGGAAGCAGTAGTACCTGGAGGACCAGCAAAGTGGCCATTAACCTCCTTCTGAAGGCACAGTTACTTGGCTCTACATCTTTGTCATATGGGCCTGAACTAGGTCTGCTTCCCTAACATGGGTCATGAAATTATCAGTGCTGTGCCACCAGGTTTGTTCAGTTATGTGTACTATGATAGCACTGCTTTATGACTAATAAAATGTGCACCTAGAGCAAAACACTGCATTTCTTCCAACAGAAGCAAATGGTGCTGTAGCCAATGTCACTTCAGCTGGAACAAATTGGAACCCTAGTCAGTAGTGGAAAAACTGTAGATGAGGTTCTTACAGATTACAGCACAGATTAAGCAGTAAATGGCTCTTACAGCACAGAGTAAGGAGTAAAAAAGGTATATTAGGTAGTTTATTGAAGAGTGATGCTAATTAAAGTTCTTTTTCTAGTCTTTGATCTTTCTTACCCCAATAAGGGAAATAAATAGAACTCAGTAGCTTTCTTTTGGTTATAAAATAGTTTTGTTTTGAAAGAACAGTGTCATGGGACATGGTATAGAAATTCACAAAAGGAAAAAAGCCATGAGCTAATTGTCTCATGGTGTCCACTAAATAGTGACATGAAAGAAGTAGTGGTTAGCTGTGTCCTGTTACCTCACTTTTGTCAGAGCAAGTATTGAATCATGTATTGCTGTTGGCTTTTGGGGTGTTATGGCAACTTACCTTTGTTTTGAAATAGCTTTAGCTTACAGCACTCAGGTGCTTCAAAGTCTTAAAATTGGTTTAGACAGCAAATGTGGAAAAAAGCAAAATGAGTGCCTGGCCCAGAAGACTGTATTTTACCATTGGTTTATCTTGGCGGCACATTCTTTTTGTACAGATTAAATTAAGCTTTATAGGGGTAAAAAATCTGCACCTTCATTCACAGTAAATAACCATTTCTCCCTGAATTGCCTTCACTCTGGTCTCTGAGTAGAATGGATCTGATTTTATTCTAATATACATTGGTATCATTCAAAAGACATTCCAAAAAATAATCTGTGGAATTAATTCTGCTCTTCAAAGTGGAAGTAAGAGTTGAGTCTTGGGTAGATGGAACCACAGCAGGAGGGCGTATTTTCCTCAGATGTTACTTAACTGTACTGTTAGCAGCAAAAGCATAGGAATGCCTGTAGCCATCATGTTACATAAATGGTTATTTGTTGAATGTTTCCTAGTATATTACATTGCACAAGACATTAATTCAGGGAATTTAGGAATTACAGTAAAGGTTTTGGATATTGATTAGGTATAGGTCCTCAGACCTTCCCTTGCTTTTTTTTTTTTAAGCTTTGTTATTGTGCTAAAGAGAAGCTCTGCTGAGGGAAACATTAGCTGCAAACATTCTTGCATAGTGTTGGAAATCTGAGCAGTGATAGCAGGGACAGCTGGTTGCTAACAAGAGAGCCTCTTAGAGGGAGAAGTCCCTGTGAGGGATTCCTGGCAGGCAACAGCCCTGTTAGGTTCCATTTTCTCAGCAGCCAAAGGTTTGGTTTTCAACAAGGTTCTGTTTTCCCATGGGTCACAGGACTATGGAAGGGTCACAAACTTTAAACTTTAAAAAAAGATTCTCCTTTAGAGGAGAAAGAGGTGGGAAGTCATGGTTTTTCCCTTTTCAGGCTGGTAGACTTCCAGCTTGCAAGGGGCAGGGTAGCAAGTTGGGAGTAAGGGGGAGTAGCCATTGATGTTTATGACTGGGTCCTGGTACAAAAAAGGCTGAGAACCACTGTTCCATATAATAGCTATAAAGCCTCACCTGAACCCTGTAAAGTAGTTACTACCTAGTTCACACCCACCAGGGGATATAGTTTATTCAGAGTTCAAGTTAAGACAGTTCATGCTATACAGTAGCCCTGGATGACTAGAGCAGTATAAAGAATGGCTTTGGGTGGTTGTGTTGTGTAATAGCTCACACCTTGTTTTATAACCAGGCTCTATAAGCCAGTGACTTTCAACCTGTGGTCCACAGACCCTTGGGGGTCCACAGATTGTTCATGGACCCCTCAGACAATAATTATGATTAATCAAAAGGTATGTGAATACCCACACTTTAAATGGAGGTGTGGACCCCTTTGAATTTTAAGTCTCCAAAGAGGTCTACAAACAAAAAAAAAGGCTGAAAACCACTGCTGTAAGCTATTGAGCAGTCTCCATGCTGCTTGCAACAGGCAAGCAAACTTAAAGGGTTTGCACCTATTTATTCAGCAAATCACAGAACTACTTTTTTTCCCCTGAAAAATAATTTCTTCAGCCAATTCAGGTCCCAGGGAGGTAGAATTAGTAAAAGTAGAAAGCAACTCCTCCTGCCCAAGAAGAGGAATTTACCTTACTTTCCTTCCTTGACATAATTGTACAGCTTTTTGTAGCAGTCTTTTTTTTCTTTTCCTTCTCTGAGAAACCTTTGCTTTTCTCAAGAGCAAAGATGTCTGGGAGCAGCTATTTATACCCTTTATATCTACTAAGCCTTCATATTTGAACCTAATTAATCTGCAAATTCTCAAATAATAGGGCTCTAGTTGCTAGCAGGTGCTGAATGCAAGTGTCTAATTGAGTTCAGCATATATCTGCCATTGGAATCAATGAAGTAAGCTTGGTCTCCCCATCTTGTTAGGTAAAGAGGAAGAGTAACTGCTACAGCAACTTTCTGATTGTTTTCTTCCACTCCAGCATCTGGACTTCTAGGTAATATAATGTAGAAAAATAGCATCTGCCAGTGTAGGGCCATATCACCATAGAATCTGTGTTCTATTCATGGGTTAAAGAGGTCTTGCCCAGTACATCCAACAGTGAACTGGAAAGTGCGTTTGCCTGCCTTGAAGGTGAAGGAGGCAATTCCTGTCACCATCAGGTCCTTGATACACTTTTAAAAATCCTTTTACAGTCACTTTTTTCAGGGCTTTTGAGACTCTGTAAAAGAGCCTTGAACTGTTTGGGTTTTTTCCCGTAGAAATACAAGCAATGTTGCTTTTATCTTCCTGTTTTGGTGAAAGACTTAATTTTTTTCCAGGAGGATCTGGGCACTCTCAAGTGAAGTAGAAAGGGCTGTGAATCATCTGTGCTCTTCCAGGTATATAGGAAGATTACTGGTTAGATGGATTTAAACAAAGGGTTTTTAGAGTGTCAGTCAAATCAGTTCCTTTCTCAGTTAATTTGGGCTGCATGACTAACTAGCTGGAACCTTCCTACCAAAAAGGCAAGTAAAACCAAATTTCTAATACAAGAAACTGAAGAACATGCCCTCTCTTCTTGCTTGCAGGACAAATAAAATTTAGTAGGTACAAAACTAGCCTAAATGTGCTCGGATTCATCAGCATGCCAAAGGCAAGATTAATATTTGATGCAAAACAAAGTAATGGTATCCATTCTGCAACTATCTTAATCTCTTTGCCTACATTCTACCATCTGTAGTAGACTTGTGTCAGTGGATGAAGGTCAGTGGTTTTGTTGTATTCAACCTGAAAGCTAAGGTAAGAGAACAGCCACAGCTACTCATTCACTAATTGGACCACCTTTTTATCACTTCAAGATCAAGCTTTAGCAATTCTACAGCTTTGGGAAAAGCCTCTCACATTTGGACATAAAGTTGTTTTTATATAGACAGGCAGGAAAAAAATTAAATGACAAAACCCTGAGGCATTAGAGAGCTCTTGTCACAGCTTCTCCACAGCTGGAGCTTGGCCCTGAAGAAAAGAAAAATGTGAAGCTCCTAGAAGGCAAGAAAAAAGCATGGGAAAGGGTTTTTAGGACTCAGGATAGTTAAGCCAAGTTAATTGAGCTTAGTCTTTGAGAATTTGCTCCATCAGCTTGAAAGATGGGGACCTAATACTCACATTAACTGTCTCCAGCTGTCTTTAAGCAGGGATTCCTAAATATTTCCAAACTGGATCACAGCTGATGAAAATTCCTCCCAGAACTATCTGCCCTCCTATTGGGAGAATAACATCCTTTATGAACTTAAGATGTCTGGACAGAGATGTGTATCTTTTAAACTGCCCTCCATTGGTTGGAGGGAGACTAGTAGAGCGCAAAAAAAGATTTTTGAGTCATCCCTGTGAAGTGGTACTTGAAAGTATGTGACCTGCCTATTTTAGCTCCTATCTATTTTGGGTAGAACAGGAAACTGACTCAGTAAGAACCCTTTGAAAAATGGAAGAGATGCTAGAAGTGGGGTAACCAGAGGTGGAAACTAACAATTCTTTTTTTACTTGCAGAAAAAAATTGGGATAATAGTGAAAGTAGTATGGAAGTCAAGGGTTTGACTAGAATACAACACTTGGCAAGAAAAACAGCTGAGAACTTAGAGAATGAGTTCAGTGGATATGGGAACCAAAGTAGAGGAATAAGATTGTGGTTCTAAACTGTTCCAGAGTTTGAAGGGTTAAATGGAGGAACAGTTGTGGGTAATCAAGGCATGTTTGAACTGCAAATGCAAGGAAAGAGGTATGGAGTCAAAGGGCAGGAAAAGGATATGGAGAACTACAGGCCAGGTGCCCTTGTGGAAGAGGAGGGAGAGCAGGGCAGAGTTGGTTAATTTTGGCAAGGTGGTATTTTTTGCTTTTTCTCTGTCTCAGCTGAATCCAGGCAGCCAGCTCTAGACATGACTAACCACATTTAAAGCAGCTATTCCTGAAGAACCCAACAAAGTCTTCATGTCTGTGGTTATGAAAAGCTTGTACTGAAGTTTTCAGTCTGCCCCTGTAGATCCTGAAAGGAGCAGGCAAAGGGTAGACAGCTTTTCCACTTCAGCAGGAGACCATATTTATCAGAGGGGAGAGTTGAAAAAGTACCTTTCATCAGATAGTGACTGGAATCTCCAGCCTCTTACAGGCAACCTCCACTTACCACTATTTCACTATAATGCTTATTTTAAATTGATACCCTATTCCACTTAGTGCTCAGCAGAACACTCAGTTGCCATCGTGGGTTGTCAAACTTCTGGTTTTGCTTAATGTCTGGTTTTTCAGGAACCAATGAAGAGCACTAAGTGAGGGTTGCCTGTAATTCTTTGTTGGAGAGTTGCCTCCCCAAGCCTCAGGGGTATATGTGAGAGAAGGGGTCACTGCTCAGCTACTGGACAGTTGTAATTGGCAGCCAGGCTTCCCCATGGCCTAGGTACACAGTAGTTCCTAGGAGAAAATCCAGCCTGTGCTTAGCAGCTTGCATCACAAAACAAATTCTGTCTGGAGAAAAATTTTGAGACTGTTTGTGCAAGTCCAATGACTCTTATACCACTAAACCTCTGGGCAGTTTAGCAAGCTGAATAACCAGAAGGTTTCTGTTGTGGTGGAATGACTTGTATAGCCGTAAGCAGAAACCATTTAACCTATAACCACCACACAAATGGTAGTTCCCACCTATAGGCCTTTTCAACTTAAAGGGCAGCGGGGACTTTTCCTGACTAACAAGTGGTGACTAAATACTATATAAAGCAGTAGTTGCATTCTTATTGTAAACAAGGGTTTCTATAAGTTCCATTTTCCTAAGGAATGTTCTGAGGTCTTCAGTGGGTCTTAAGGAGGTACGGGCAGTTTCATCTTGGAAACAACTAATTCAGAGGCATAAGCGTCTTGCAGTCAGCAGCTTACTTCCTCAAAGACTATGAAAAAACTGGGTCTTTTATAACTTGCTCACCAGCATCAGTTCCAAGTAGCTGAGAGTGACTATTTGGCTCATCAGCTGCTAAAGGCAGGGAGCACAATTATAGTTTAAACTTTTTCAAGATTAACAGTAAACTTAAGTGTCCATTGTGAAGTTTCAGGGAGGGTATGTTTGCCATACTGCTGCTTCTTGGGCCACTGGTAGCAAGTGTAGAGGTCATGACTAGAGGTTAATTGAAATGTAGCCTGGTAAGTAAGTAACAGCTGGGGCTCAACTGGCCTTATTAGGTTAAAACTATTTTGAGGGTATTCTGAAACAATGTGCATCACATCTGTCCCCTTCTGTCCCCATCCCCCCCAAACACACACACCATGCAAACTTTTTGACTGCAATGTTGTTTTAATGGAAAAGACTCAATGTTTTACATGAATATTCATTACCATAACTAAACTGAAGTCAGTTGAGACAAATAAATGAATATGTATTTGGAAAGTTTCACAGCTTACAATGAACTGACTAAATGAGCACACACTGACTTGCAGAGCTATAAAAAGTGAGTTGGGCACTCCCCTCATCTTTTCATTAAGTTCATCTGTCAATCACATAGGCTGTCCCTGGTGTTAGTGTTTCCATGCAGCAAGATATGTGTTCAGGAAAAAAAAACTGAATTTCACAAATTCATCATCGTTTTACTTTCAGTAAAAGGCTCAAGGTGTTAGAAGACAAGTTTAAGTAGTCCACTAAGCTTAAGCTCATAGGGTTTATATTGTCAATGTGCACATTCTCCCAAAGTGAAACTACGACTTCAGTGTGCAAAGGTTTAAGATTTTTTTTTTAACATTTAGCTGACAAGCTACTAAAACACTGATAGTCAACAGGAATGCTCTCGCACTATAGCAATACCCAGTCTTTCCATTTGTATTCCAGGCAAGCTTTAAGAAAAAATATTTTGCAAAATCCCTCAAAGTTTGTGAACAAGAGAAATTAAATAGCTCTGCTGATTTTTATCACAAAGGTAGCCAACATACTCCATGTTTGCACTTAAACTAATAGCTTAAAATCCTAAATGCAGAGGTAATTTAAATCCAAAATACCAAGGCTGCTAAAGGATAAAAATGTTGGATGCTAAAAGGAGATATTTCAGGTTCAGTCACTGTTACAGTGAACAAAATTAATCTGACCTTGCTTCTCTGCAGTTAGATACTAAAGGAACAGGCACCTTTAATATTTGAAACACTGAACAGTGTTTTCTAGCTAAACAGGATGATAGCAGCCCAACCAGGAAGCATTCAGTGTTCATTTTTCTTTTTTTCCTTAAGGATCTTAGTTCTTACCTCATGAAGAATTATGACTTACTGCTCTATCACAGCAAGTTATTAGTCTAAAAATTGAAGTTATTCATTTTTTTTTTAAGTAAAATTTCAAATGTTACCTTTTTAAACGTTGGCTCTTGGTCTTCAGATGCATCAGGATTAGCACTGAAAACTTTTCAGTTTGACATTAATTTGAAAAGGAAAAGAGCTAAATCTTACACCTGTTCTAGACACCTGAAAAACTCATTTAAGAGAAAAACCTTTCAGGAAGGTAAGTTCATTTTTACTAAATCACTCTAAAGGACTAGCACTGTAGGTTTTCAAAATTTCAAAAAAAATCACAATAGCTTTGAGCTTGCATTATTAAAAAAAATAGGATACAAATAAAATCTTTGAAGGTCGAGCTAAGGGCTAGTAAAGGCTGGGATGCATCTTAAGACAAGGGCAAACCTTTGGGTTAAAAAACTAGTACAGTCTAAACACCAGATGGAGATTTAAAAGCACCATGACATTCATTTTATAACTGTGTTGGCTTCAGCATACTTCAAGTACCAACCCATAATGATTCACACAGGCTCACGAAGGATACAAACTCCCAATGTCTATTGTGTTGGTGTACACTGGACCTGTGCTTGGGAATCAGTCATTATAACACAAAGGCATTTCTGCACCTTAACTCAGTTATATATGAATAGTTTTTCTTTAATTCAGTTTGGAAGAAAAATAAAGCAGATTAGTCAGAGGCAAACATGATAAATTCAGCTGGCTGCAGTCACTGGGCATGAAGGTGGTGAGCAGCAGGAAAGAGATGTCACAATCTTGTGTCTTCACATCTAGAGAGTTCAGAATACAGAGTTACTTTTTCTGATAAACAGAAAACAATACTTTAGGAGTTTATATAAACAGAATTGCAAGTCCAAACTTGCTTTAACTATTTATCCAAGACCCAGAATGAAATATGCACATGAAATTTAATCCCACATTTTAACAAGTTATCACAATTTTCATACAAACATTCAATATTAAACACTAACTTACAGAAAAGTGTAAATGGCAGAAATGCATAAAAATAGAGGACAGAGTGGGAAATAAACGGGATACTCTCAAGAGGCCTGAGCAATTAAAAGCTATTGAGAAAGTGAATTGCTTGTTGCTTTTAACACTGAGTGTTAGATCATTTCAAAGACTCAAAAACATACAGTTGTTCAAGACAGCATCATTGGGTGACTTTTTTTTTTTTTTAAACATTTAATTAATCCCACCTGTAAAGGAGCATGGTACAGCCACTTTTCTCTTTCTCCATTAAGTTTCATGCAGGCAAAAAGGTCACAAACAGTAGGAAGGCCAAAGTCCTGAAAATAAGACTTTATTCAATAATTATGTCCAAAAGTCACTAAAAAGTTACTTTTAGTCAGCATCTATAAATTCTGAAAAGGGGTCACAAAAGAAAATTACATCTAATAATTTTAACAGGATACTTGACTTTAGTTTATAGGAAGCAGCTCTCAGTGCTGAAGTCTAATTAATTGCTGGCCTCAGCTACTTGGGAAACTAAAAAAAACCCTACTAGAATTCACCCAGTTAGTGACTGGGAACTAATGATACCTAAGTTGAGTGTCCTTGAAATAAATGACTACCACAGCTTTGGTGTAAACAGAGGAAAGACAGTGAATACATACTAATGTTTGTCATGCTGGTGCAATACATATAAAGGAACAAACATTTATGACTGCACTTACTTGTGCTTTTTTGCGTAGCAACCATTTGTCTTCCAATGGAGTCTGACTGGCATTTTCTGTATTCTTGGAATTCATCACCCAACTGTTTACATTCAAAGGAAGGTGGAATGGGGCCAGGAGGTCTAGAAAAGGACTCTTGAAGTTAACATCTGCTTTCTCCATACTTGTTTTTTCTTCTGTGCTTGCTGCTTTGTGCTCTGATTTAGCTAGCCAACCTGTCAAAGGACTTTCAAGCAATGCTTTCAGGGGTCTGACAATCTTCTCTAAGTTATCTGCAGTAGCTGCTGATTCTTCAGCGAACTGCCTGGAAGGGTGAAGCCAGATGTTGACAGCAGGGTTTAGTTTTTCAGGCTCAGGGTTCAGTAGAGGCATCTGGCCTACTAGAACACCATTTTTATCTTTTCCTTCTTTTTTCAGAAGCCATTTGCAGAGAGCCTCTTTTTCACAGTTTTCATCACACACACACTCTGAAAAGCTGTTACATGGCTCATTAGCTTTGCACACATCTTCCACTTTAAGTGGTGTCTGTGGGTGCTGAAGGAGCCAAGCATTGTTTGACACAGTGGGAGACTTCTTCACTTCTAGGTGTTCATTCAGGCACTTAAGATTCCCAAGATTTTCAATCTCTACACCCTTGGCCTGGCTAATACAGCAATTAGCACAGGAATCAGGTTTGGAGAGCCAATCAATTATGTTAAATTCCTCCCTAAAAGGCCTGAATTCATATTTCAATTTCTCATCTGAAGCACTATTTTTTTCTTGATCAGGAGAAGGAGTAAGCAACCAGTCAGAAAGATCCATCTCATCTTGCTCCTGAGACTCTGGGTTTGTACTCTTTTCAATGAAGGTGGAGGAACTCTTGTTTCTATGGGAATCTGTTCTCTCAGAATATTCTCTTTGCTGATTCTGAAGGAGCCAGTTTTCCAGATCTTTCAGGTTTCCCCAGTCTTGCTCAAAATAACAGGCTTTGGAAGGACTTACATCCTGACAAAAACATAAGTAGGCCCCATTAACAACAAAAAGCAGTATTTAATTACTGTTTGAATAATTAAAACGCACAATATTTTGAGAACTATTTGAGGGGAAGGCTGAGATGCAAGAGAAGTTCAACAGATGTGCTCCTGCACCACCTCTGCAGTAAAACACTATCTTGCCTCTAATAAAGCTTATTTAATATGTGAAAAGAATACCTGGTTGGTCTCTGGCACATGCCTTTTCATAAGCCAGTCATCAGCATTGGTGCTAGGAACATGCGAAGCCTGACAAATGTTAGCAGATTTGCTTCCAAGTAGCCAGTCAGTGAGTGGGAACCCCAATGTTCCATACAGTGGTTTCTGCTAATAAAGAATATTTTCTGCTATAAAAAACTGTTTTCTTGCTAAGCCAATCTAGAGAGAACTTTGAAATACACATCTATATCAACGTTTACTAACTAGAAGAAGAATTACAGAAATCCTCTTTCACAAAGTCTTAAAAAAATTCCGAAATCATTCAGGTAGCAGAAAGCCAGGTTAGAGGTGCAATTTGTTTATCCATTTCTAATAATTTAGGAAGCGGGTTAAAGACAGTGCTGAAAGCTACAACGCAATAAAAACAGTCCTTTTGAATATAGGCCCCTCTTCCCAAGTTAAATGGAAAATAAATTGCATTTAATTCATCTTCTGTCCATGACCGACCATGGCACTTCCCAGTGAACTGATAAGTACAATGCAATCAACGATTTCAAATCCCAGACCAGCGCTCAGAACTTCAGTTGCCCTCCAATATTTTGACGAAAACACATTTACACTCCACAGAATGCAAATGAACCCCACATTAATTTTTTAAGGAGTAGAACCAAGAGAAAGTGCCTAGGGAAACTGGGATATACACTCAACGGGTAGATCTTTGCAACATTCATCTGGGACACGTTGCTACAGGCTACTCAAACTGCAATAGCTTAACCAAAACCATAAGCCAGTTAGGAGAATGTAATGGTAGATTACATCAGAGTTCTCCTCTTTAATCAAGTTGCATGTGCATGGCAAAAGTCTTTACCTGTTCATAGTTGGCCAGGATACAGTTCTGCACTGGTATCCAAGGAGAACAATTTTCTGTCTCTGAAGTTTGCTACAAAAAGTATAAATTAAGTTATTTGTCCTATTTTTAAACTTGATTTCATTCAATACTAAAAACCAACATTTAACCGTGAATGCTGTAACATACAGTTGCAATTAATGAACTGTTTTGTACTTCCGCCCTAAGGGCATTTATATACGAGCTCCATGAGTGAGTTGGGGGGGGGGAGGGATGGGGGCGCCCCCTTGGGCTCCAAGAGCCACTCTAATGAAAGCACTTGGAGCATCACATGCACCCATACTGACAAGTGGCAGCAGTCATGCTTTAAAGCTCATTTGATAAGCTTTAGTCAAAAGCGCCCCCACTGCCATTTTTCAGTGCGGGGCCACTAATACATGTAACGCTGGAGCCTGCTGGAGCGTGGTAATTACCATGTTTCAGCGGACTTGATTAATCAAGTCTGCTCCAACACGCTGTAATTACAGTGCATCAGAGCAGCCTTGCTGCATGTATAGAGGCGCCCTAAGGCTGCCAACATAAAAACCAAGCAAAAAAAAGTCTGCATAGTGCTACCTTTCAGGCCAGAAGAACGGAACAGAACTGTTTCTACTCTTTACTCTCAGCGCCTGAAGAACTGCCTCTCCCTACATCATGCTGGTATTTCCAAGTGCTACATACAAGACCACCATTAGCCACACCCCAGCCAATCTCTGACAGAAACAAAAACATTCATGTAATGAAGGCACACATTAATGGGATTGCTGTATATATTACACACACATGCTGAATATAACTGGGCTTACTTCTAAAACTGGATTTCCTGAAACACCAGCAAAAGGCTGGCTTTTCTTACAAAATATAACATAACTTGTGTGCTCAGGTCTAGATTTCACTGGAAACGAGCTGCTGCATGCTATGATTATCAAATTCTTAAAAATGTCAGTTATAACTTACCAATGACAAGTATAATACGATTAAATAGAATCATTATTTTATGCTAAACTTTACCTTTAAAAATAAGCTACCTTGAATAATGGTTGACTGGAGTTCTACAAATCCTTAGTCTTCTACAAACCATATGAAGGAACTATTTTCAGATATATCACCACCAGGAAAACCTGGGTACTCACCATAGTTTTGATGGCGCCAAATGATGTAATAGCCTGACGAAGGTAGGACATGTCAGCTTCAAAATTCAGGATGGAGGACTCTTCTGGTTTAAGGGTCAAGTTACCCAATCTGAAAGAAATCAGGTTTTAGATAAAATTAACGCTTCACCCATAAATTCAATTCAATTCACTGAGACATTGAAGCTTGGGAAATTGACAATGAGCTAATCTTGGGATAAGGCTTTAAATTGGTTCCATCACTAGCAAAGCTGAACTACATAGAACTTAGCTATTTATACAAAACCAAAAAGGTACCTATCCACAGCTCTAGACATCTAAAATATTGTTCTTTAAAGACACTAACACCAAGAACAAGTCTTCCCACCTGCCGTATTTCATGATGTATAGGTCGACACAGTGTATAGGTCAACCTGTTTTCTGATGCCAAACTTGAAAATTTTCATAAGCACAGTGTGTAAGTTGGGGATGAGGCAGAGGCCAGACTCAGCCCCATCCTCTGCGAGCGATGCTGGGCTCGGCTGATGGGATCAGGGCTGGGTTTGGTGCTCAGCAGCACCACTCACAGGGGATGGGGCCGCACCAGCCAAGCACTGAGCTGAGTTTTGCCCTTTCCTTTGCAAGCAGCGCCAGGCTCAGCATTCAGCTGGCGCAGCTCCATTCCCTGTGATCGGTGCTGCCTGGGCCAGCCAAGCACTGAGCCCTTGCAGGGGATGGCAATACAGTGCATAAGTTCATGTTGAATTTTAACAGTTAAAAATTGAGCTTCAAACCTCAACTTATACACTGAGAAATATGGTATTCCCCTTAATTTAGCTGCCATTAAAAACTTACCGCCTGGAGTAATACATACCAAGAAGTAAGGAAGGGTTTTCTGGCAATGTATTTTACTGGACAATTGTGTAGTTGAGATACGTTAGACAAGCTTTGGGGCACAAAGTGCCATTCCTCAGATCTCAAAAAGAAGAATGGGCAGCCAAAAGCTCATTTATTTATTTATTTATATTTAGTATTTATATTATTATTTTACTATTAATTTGGTTATTAGTAATGTAGCCTATGCTCTCTGCTACTTTCCCAGACCCAAGGTAGGGCACTTCATCTCCTAAAGCTTGTCTAACATCTCCCCCAACTATGCAATTCATCCAAAAACATATTCCCCCTGCCCCCTCTCCCCCCAAAAAACCCTTCTTCCTTGCATTTCTTGGACCATCAGTTATGACACCATGCTACTATAACCCATGCAAACAGCTGTGCTGCATTTCACATAGGCTATTCCCTATTTTTCTTTAAAAAGGGGTGTACTAGAAAAATCTCAGAATGTGTTTTCCAAAACAGTGCTAGGAATTTAGATGCGTGTCATCTGAGACTGCTTTGAAATCTTACCCTTAATGTTTTAGCAGTAACACAGAATACCTCATAGTGAAGTACAGGGGTATAGGTTGTAGCCGTGTTGGTCTGAGGACATAGGTAGACAAGGTTCTTTGGGTGAATCTGATAATAAAAGATATCAGATTCACCCAAAGAACCTTGTCTGTCATAGTGAAGTACACACATGATAAATGAAGAAGAGACCACATACAGGGAGCATAACCAGAAGTCAGTTTAAATTCAATGTAAAGTGAATAAATATCTCATTTGTTCATACTGTGTAACATTTTTACCTCTCCAGGCACACCGAAATCTGATTGGCTAGGTCATTACTATGGGGGTGTTCCAGCTGATGAATAATACAGTTGAACTGGCCCAACAGCTGCATCAAAAACAAAACAATATTATTACATTCTTTCCACAGGTTAAAGGCGTGGATATTCATAAGTTATCTTATACTTTAAAACTAATTAATATACTAGCAAGACTACTGTCTATCTAAAAGTTGCACTGAGTTAAACAAGCAACAAGCTTACCCAGTAAAGCTGTTGTGCTTGCTGCTGTAAAGCCTCCTCTTTGAGTTGCTGAATGAGATCCACCTGTTCAAACAACCAAACTTCCCGACTGCGCAGGCATTCCAGATGGCGACTTATGCAGCTGTGAATCTGAGCTTTGACCTGTAAGGTAAGTAGCAGCTCTATTTAGCATTTCTGGAATGTCTGCTGAATACGCCCAGTGTTGCAAAAAAGGAAAATTTAATTAACTGTCATTAAGAGAAATTAATACTTTTAAATAATCCTTAAACTGCCAAGCCTTGAACTAATTTTGAGAGATACCATCAGACACAAGGCTAAGAGCTTCTAACACTGCAGTCTACTAGTGCCAAGACCATTCCCCTTAAAAGGCCCCAAAGGTCAGTTCTTTAAAAGCAAGTACTACCATTATTTGTAATATCTTTGTTTCTTCATTTTAAACCAAAAACAGTTTCCAGTGACAAAGAATGAATTGCTTAAAACTAAATAAATACATAAATAAGTAAGTAAATTTCAAAGCCTTGGAAACCCACTGCATACAAACTACAAATTCAATTGTGAGACCAGTACAAAACATTACTTAGTGAGATACAGCGGTTTCTCAGCGTACATATTATTCTGGATGGCTGGGTTAGCCATGCTCAGATACGTGTCTTGTAAAGGGCATGGATGAATTATGTAGCAAGATGCTTGCTCCTTCTTGGAAGAATTTCAGTCTATTCACACACAGCACCACAAAGGTCTGCAGAACACCAACACAGTTACAGAAGATTTGCAAAACTACTTAACTTTCTAGAAAAACGCATTTCAAATACCTCTCTCCAGTTGTCTTTAATCTGCTGTTCAGCCTTGACGATCCCACCAAGAGCTGTCTCCAAGTCCTTCTTAGCTTGAAGGCACTTTGCAAGAGACTCCTTACTGCAGGAGTTTCCAGTCCTGTCCTGTGGTCGACTCATTCTTGAAAATGTTCCTGACACACTGTTGAAACAAAATGTCCCTTTAAGTACTTCCATACCTTTTTGGATGGAAAACAATGGATAGGGTATATTCTGACTAGCCATCATCTACTGATGATGCCACATTTGAAATATAACTTCTGAAGGGTCAAAATACCTTACAGTATAAAAACTGGCGAGATAACCGACATCCAGCAACTATTTCAGTTTTCTGCACATTTGTTCCCATATACCAACCTCAGAATTGGTGGTCTTTTTTGCTTTTAATGTGTATCAGATCACTGTACTTATGTAACACTGAGGCTTTAACCAAATTGTTAAAATTAAATGAAGTGGTTTCATCAGTGTCTTGAGAATCCCCAAGGAAACTTTTCAGCATGGTAGCTTATCTACATTAACATAAAAGGAAGGTGGTTTGTGCTGCTAAGTAACAATAGGCTGAAAATCCACATATTTGTTTCATATACTTTTGAAGTGTTTTGCATAGCTTAGATAGTCCAATGGCTGTATAAGTTTTTGGATGGAAATCAAATCAAGTTTTTAGATGGAAATACAAATACTGCCTGCCATAATATCTAATCAATGTAATCAAACTTCCTTAACCTCTCTTGAAACTATTATTTGCCTAAACCCCAGCCTGTAAAAACCTTTTTAAAAGAAATGATGCCCTATGATTGCCAACACCAGTTCAGCTCCACTCCTGTTTATATCACAGCTTTACAATGTTCCTACAACTAAGAAAACTGAACCTAAGTTTGCAGTGGTACACAATTTGAGTGGCCTACCAAAAACTAACAGTCTACAGGGCTGTGCTATAAACACTGGATTCACTTCAAAGGGTCCAGGAGAGTGCAGAATCTCAGACCTCCTCTGAAATGAAGTGGTCAAGCTTTGCCCAAGTGTAACAAGGAAACATTAGTTAAAGCCTAATCAAAATTTGACTTTTTTCTAACTAGTGTAAAACAAAGGAGGTAAAAGTACTACCATGAAACGCACAATTTTCACTCCAACCACTTACAGTAGCAAGCATTTAATTTTAAGATCATTTCCAATGCATTTCCCCAAATACTCAAAGGATCAAATATAGGAGGTAAAATTAGATCTTCACAAATTTTCTCTCTGCAAGTAAGACCTAAGAAAACCAGGAAGATGTAGGAGTTGCATTCTTGGTACTGCAACAAACTGAATAAATGTGTCCAGACTTCTCCAAGTGTTCTCTCTTGTCCACTGCTAATACCAAGTCATCTTTTGGACAGGCCAAGAACAACAAGCACGGAGAATCTTTCTGCTGGTTTTTAAGGGCCTGTCCTGTGGAGCTGGAGAAGAGTGTGCATATGAATCCAACCCTAACAAGATTTCAGTCTCCTCCAGCAACAATAACAGTAATGCTAGCCACAGAACAGTGACACTATTTAGCAGCTATTAATATACCCAAAGTAAGAATGGTATTCTGCTTTCTAATATTTTGTTTGTATTATATTACTATAGCCTACTAATTGTAGCAGCAGCCACAAAATGTAAGGGCAACATGCTATTCCTGCAGTTTTATGCATAAATGTTCTACTCTAGAGCACTAACTCAAGAACATGCTTGAAGGGCTTGACAAGGACAACAGCTTTTTCACATCTACCATTTGTCAAACAACTGCATTTCCACTTGCACATTTTTTGAACATTAAGTCACTGTGGAATCTGATCCACTGTTTATACAACCACCAACACAGGAGAGTATGAGAAAGCAGCTCACCTTCCACAGACCTTCTTTGTATTTTCTAACTTTTTTTTTATTTTGTAAAACCTTTGGGGTTGTAAGAGCCCAGTAATTTTTAAGTCTCATCTAAAGAATCACAATAACTGAAGGGCAGATCCTCTGCTGGTAGATAATATAGTCCTGAGTCCCTCATTCCTTAATTGGGGAGGGAAAGGGAAAGAGGAGATGGCCCACGGAAAAAGACACTTACAGGTTTAGATGCCAATTATTACCCAAAAAACCTGACAGTGCATTTCAGTAAAGACCAAGAAACTCTAGACGTTGAACACAAAGGCTGCTATCTCCATTACATAGGTTTGGTACAATACATAGAAAAGTTAAAAGACTCAGCCAGTAAGCTGCTGTGCATTTTAATCACATGCAGAGCAGAAGAGTTTAGAAACAGCTACAGTTAACTAAGTGCAGCTAGAAGTTAACTTGGTGACTGTCTTCTAAGTTTCGAAATGCTTTACTTAAACATCTGGATTGCATTTTCTTTAAACACAGGTGAAAGCTGAAATGAGCTCCCTCCCTCCGAGAAAAGCCCGGGTCTCTCCTATCTGAGCTGCAGCTGCACTTGTCCTAGTGCCGGACACCGGTGAGCACAGCCCGACGGTTTCTAAGCCCGAAGCCTCCTCCCCTGCGCTCCCAGCACCAGCCCGGCCCCCGGCCCCGCGGGGAGCGCTCCCGGACAGCACGGCTCAGTCCGCGGCGCGTCCTCGCGTCCTCTCCTCGGAGCCGCTAGTTAACAGCCTGGTAGTTAACGTGCATCCTGCCGCGCCGCGAATGAACCTGCAACGCGGCCTCAGTCACACACCACAGCCCCCGTGCCTACCCAGCTGCCCGCATGCCCAGGCCGGCCAGCCGGCGCCCCGCCTGCTCTGGCCTCTATCAGCCGCCTGCAGGCGGCGGGGCGCGGCGCCGGGTCCGCCCACGTGTCCCGGCAGCCACTGCAGCGCCGCGATCCTGCACGTCCGCACGGGGCGGGACCGGGGCTCACGGGAGGCGCCAGCTCAGGCGCAGCGCGGCGGGGAGGCGAAAACCGGGCGCTAGCCGGGGGTGGGGGGCGCCAGGCCGGACCAGGAAGAGCCCTCACATGCCCTCAGGGCAGCCCGGGCTTCTCCACGGGTCTCGCTGCTTCCCTGCGCCCCAGCTCACCCCTTTCCCCAACACGAGCCGACCCAGCCGCAGGGCGCCGGGTTCCCGGCTGTGCCCCGGGCGCGGGGACTGGGGGCCAGGCCAGACCACAACGTGAAGGTCCGGGGGAGGAGATGAGCTCCCTTGCAAAATTATCACCCAGGGATTTTTCAAACGGCCAGAAGCCAAATAGAAAACGGGGGCAAAACAACCCTTTGAACTGACACCTGAAACTGAACTGCCCTTCTTGCTGCAAGTGATCCCTGGCTGTCACTCCTGGAAAAAATGAAGGGAACTGGCACTGAGTGTACAAGGTAGGGAACACATACGTGAAAAGACCTGCACACACAGGACTCACTGGCATTAGGTAAAAGGCCACGTCATGAAGATTTCCTTTAAAATAACCGAGCCTTTAGAAAAAATAGTAAATATCAATAATTACATCAAGAGTCAATCTAATCCTGTCAGAATATCTATATGAGACTAAAAATATAACCAGGAGTGGAACAGTATTTTTGAAGCCAGGGCTTTAACTACTTGGTGTGCATCTACTTCAGCCTGCCCCAATGAAACCTCAAATGATAAGATTTCCTCCAAAATCAGTTCTCAGGTGCACCTGAATGCCCTAAATTATGACTTCTGAGTGAACAAATCTAACATCTACTCCACTCTTCCTGAAACTGAAGGAATCAGAAGTTCTCCAGATCCAGATTAAAAAATAAAAAAGGGAGCACTCCATGCAACAGATGGACAGGAACCCAACAGGACAAGATCTCTCAAAAGTAGCCATTTAAGGTCAGACTACACTATTAGAATGCCTCTTGCTGATACAGGTCCCATAAAGGACCATTTAAATTTAGGACCAACATCTCAAAGTGATAATCATAAAACAATATCCTATCTACTAGGTTTTGACGTATGTCAGAGTTAATATATGTATAACATTAACATCTCACATTTCAAAAAATATTCTCAAAAGCTAGAGTGGACCATTTAAAGACTTCCATATTAGTCAGGAGTGTACCTACCCCATATGTTTCCATTTGGCTCTACCCTAGCAATACAGGTGGCCAATTAACCCAATGATTGTTTTTTCTCCAGCAAATATTTTCTCCTGTCATCTGCCAGTTTAAACCACAAACCACAAAACCAAGCACTGCAATGCATTCCACTATTTTGCCATATCCAGTGGAGATGTGGCAATATGCATTACCTAACAACGCACACATGAAATAATAACCCTATGGGTATATTTGTGTGTGTAGGGGGAAGGGCTAACACTCTGTAAATATCTGTCATGTTTAAGTATCTAAATGTTCTGCTTCTGCCTTAATAACAGCCAAATCTATATAAAGCATTCCTACCCCCCTGTTCTAAAGGAAACCAACTTAGAAGCTATGCTTCAGTCTGCATGCTTTATTACAAGAAACACAGCGATGCCTAAAATAGGCAAGGGTATTTATACCCAAAACCTTGTAAAGACTTTTTCCAACTATTTGAGTTGGTCTAATAAAAGATATCAGATTTACCCAAAGAATCTTGTCTGCCTAAAACAGGCAAAGCTTTCTCTTTTCCCTACAGTTTGCTCTTTAGTCTCTAGTCAGCTTCCAGAACCAGATTCCCTGGCTCTTTCACACAGCACCAAAGGAGAGAATAGCCAGAGAAAACAGAAAAGGTAAAACTGAAGTTGACAGGAAGAGCAAGTCCGGTATCGATGGCAGCATGTTACCTGTTCAGAGTTGTCCATCAACACGCATCTAAAAATGGGGGGAAACTGTGTTAACTAGTAACTCCTCAGGAAGATTTAATGCCTGTTGACTAACTCCAGGCATTAAATGTTCGTCTGTAAAATCGTGACTGAGGTGTGGCCTCAGGAGAGTGAGAGAGATGATAAAACTATTGTACTCAAAACTAAGAGTCCTTTCCCTGCTCCCTAAAACATTAACTTTTTATACTCCTCCTCTGACTTTTAAGTTCAAGAGACTTAGAAGTGCTGTTGCTTTAATGAAAGGATCATATGCCTTTGGTGGTGGGGGGCATGGGGACATTTAGTTGCCTAGGCAATCTACCAGTGGAACCAGTTTTACCAGTTTTAAATCTACAGCATAAGTAGCTGAATTACTGTTCACCTATGACTACTCCCATGAACTCTGAATGCAAACAAAGTCAAAAATCACCTCTAATAAACTGAAGTTTCCTAAACTTAATCACCAAAGAAACCGTGCTTGAATAAGACTCATATTTGACAGACCCCAGTCTACACTAGTAAAATTACCTCTTGTGGTTGTCAGCACTATCTCCCCAATAGTCCAAATTGAGCCAGTGTTGAAAACTCTTTAAATTGTTACTGCTTGTCTATATTAGAAGAATCATTTCCCATTACACCAACAACAAACTGTGCATTTCCTGAGTACTCAACCCACAGTTGGTTTGTAGGAATTGCAACAAGCAGATAGGGAAGCACTGTAACCAAATGGAGAGACTAATCCATAGAGATGAACATTTCAATACAAAATAGCATGCATTTTTCAAAAACAGTGTGTCAGCATGCACACATGCAAATATATTTTTTCTGCCTTCAAAAAAGCATGAAGTTTGTGTATGCTGCTGTTAATAAGTTAGAAGAGAAACATTTAGTGGTCTCCATTTCATTGAATTACAGAAAATTAGGGTTGGAAGGGACCCCAAGAGCTCATCTCATCCAACACTGCTCAAAGCAGGACCATCCTCAACAAGATCATCCCAGCCAAAGTTTTGCCTAGCCGCATCTTAAAAACTTCCAGGATGGGGATTACCCAACCTCTCTAGGTAATCTGTTCTAGCGTTTTACTACCCCCTTAGTGAGAAAGTTTTTTTCCTAATATTCAGCCTAAACTTTCCTTGCTGCAACTTAAGACTGTTACTCTTTGTTCTGTCATCTGCCACCACTGAAAACAGTCTCTAGCTCCATCCTCTTTGGAACCACCCTTCAGGTAGTTGAAGGCTGCCATTAAATCCCCCCTCAGTCTTCTTTTCTCCAAACTAAATAAGTCCAGATCCCTCAACCTCTCCTCATAAGTCATGTCCCCCAACCCCCTCACCATTTTTGTTGCCCTCCACTAGACTCTCTCCAATTTCTCCACTTCCTTTCTGTAGTCAGGGGCCCAAAACTGGACACAGTACTCCAGATGTGGCCTCACCAGTGCCAAATAGAGGGGAATAATCGCTTCCCTCAATCTGCTGACAACACTCCTATCAATGCAGCCCAGTAGGCCCTTCTTTGCAACAAGGGCACACTGTTGGCTCATCTTCAGCTTGACATCCACTGTAACCCCCAGGTCCTTCTCTGCAGAGCTGCTGCTTAGTCAGTTTGTCCCCAGGCTGTACCAGTGCATGGGATTCTTCCGTCCTAAGAGCAGGACTTTGCATGTGTCTTTGTTGAATCTCATGACGTTTCTTTTGGTCCAATTCTCCAATTTGTCGAGGTCTCTCTGAATCCTAGCCCTACCCTCCAATGTATCAAGTACTCCCCCCACATTGGTGTCATCTTGAGGGTGTACTCCATCCTATGTCTTGCATTTCATGTCTTGCAAATGAAATGAAAACTCCATTTCCCTCAGCTCATTAACTTAATTATTTAGAGGCAAAGTCAACAAATGGCAGATTAATAAGAAACTACATATCAAACCAAATACACTTGTTAAGGTACTTTCTACTCCAACATTATGTCCATCTTGCTCCATTCCATTGCATTAAGGCTGCGCTGCATCCCCACTGCAGAAATGCTGTGGTCAAGTTGTGCAATGTGTTACAAAAGCCTGCACTATACCTCAAAAAACAGAACTTTGAGCAGTGACAGAAGAACTACAGTTAAACAGGGCACATGCAGGGTTATCACACTGCATGATATAGATGTGGCAAAAACAGATGCAACAGGACCCAAAAAAACCCTCCTTTTTAAAAGATATACTTATCTTTTAAGTATATCCTGTTAAAGCAAATAACTTAAGACTGGTTACTGGCAGAGACACTGATTAGTTAAAATAATTTGAATTTAATATTGGATCTTTAAAGGTAGATCTTACTAGGAAAATCAAAAGGTATTTCCCTTCAAGACTGAAGTACATGAGGTGTGGGAAAATAGATTCAGGTTGAAACTCAAAAAGGAATTCTACAAAAAGTGGAAAATCGGTCATATTACTAGGAAACAGTAGAAGAGTATCACATGGACATGCAAAGAGAAAATTAGTAAAGCCATGGCACAATTTAGGTGCAAGTGGAAAGGGACATAAAAAGCAATAAAGTATGTCAAGAGAAAGTCCAAAGAAACCAGCTTGGTTTCACCAACAGTAAGTCATGCCAAACCAACCTGATTCCCTTCTACGATAAGACGATAGCCTCTGTGGTTGGGGAAAAGCAGCGGATGTGATGCACCCTGACTCTAGCAAGACTTCTTCAGCCGTCTCCCACGAGGTTCCTAACAAGCAAGGGAAATACAGAGTAGATGAAAGTACGGCAAGGCAGGCACAGAACTGGTTGGATCACTGGGTTCAAACAGCTCAATGTCTGGTTGAGAGGAGCTATGAAGTAGGGTTCCCAGCGGTCTGTTCTGGGTCTCGTCTTGCTCAACATCTTTATTGACAATTTGGACAATGGGGCCATGTACACACTGAACTGACTTGTGAATTTTGGTGCCATCTTGGGTGGAGCTGCAGACACTGGAGGGCTGGGGATCCATAACAACCTGGATGCACTGGGCTAGTGCTCTGCACTAAACCAGAATGAATTCAGCAAGGACTAGTGCCAAGTCCTGCACTGGGGACAGAACAACAGCACACAGACAAGCAGCCGAGCCGCACTGCAGGGAAGGACCTGGCGGTTACTGGAGGCAACGGAGCACTCATCACTAAAATAGCCAACAGCGATCGGGGCTGTCAGCAGGACAGTGATTCTTCGGCTCCCCGCAGTTTGGGAGGCCCCGGAGTCAGGTTGCAGCTGCGCACTCCAGGGGAGCCGCAACTGCAGAGCCGGCCCAGGCAGCAGCAGGGCTCGGGGGCCTAGGCCGCGAGCACGGGGCCGGAGCTGTTTCCGGGGAATGGAGCGGGCGGAGACGGCGTTGGACAGCAGTCCGGAAGACAGAGCCACAGGGCCGGGGCCGCAGACACACCCGGGTAGCGGCGACGCTGCCCCACGCGGGGCCTGGACGAGGGTTCCCCACGCCGGTGCCGCAGGGCAGTTTCCTTCTCTTCCTTTGCCTCTCGGCTGGCCCCCGAAGCCCTCCCCCGCGGTCCCGAAGCTGCCCGCACTTACCGGCAGCAGCAGCTCGTCCTGCACAGCCGGAGCGTAGAGCGTGGGCTGCCGCAGCTCTCGCGAGAACTGCGGCGCAGCGCGGGGAGGCTGCCCCCTGGCGGGTTGGAGGCTGTGGCGGCCTGTTCCGAGGAGACTTGCGGCCGCTGTGGGGGAAGGAAGAGTCGAATGGGGAGAAGAAGGGGCCTGATCTCCAAGTGAGGAGGCAGGAAACAGCCGGCGCCAGCCAGTTGTGGGGACAGAGTTGGAAATGACGCGCCTTCCGCCCCCCCCCGGCTGGATTTTAACTTATCTGGGGGTTGGGGCGATAGAAATGCTAGCGTTTTGAAGCAAGAGACATCGGAGGTGTCTCCACACCCGGCCTGGGAGATTTGGCCTTTTGCAGTCATTATTTTTCCTCTCCTACCCCAAAGATCTCCCTCCTTCCCTCACGGCTGTTGCAGGATGAGCTCCCTGCTGAGCTCTTGTCCCAGAGCAGCCCCCAGTTCCTGGCACTTCTTGTATGTCCTGAAGGAGGAGATGCCGGTGCTTGCAGTTGGATCCATTAGGCAGTCACTGTACCTATGGCGGCAGAGTTCATCCAAGCCTGTTGTAAGATACAGGGATTCCTGCTTAACAGCACTGAACAAGGCACTAAGAGGTGCTACCCTGCCTTGTCTTCCACCTGACTTTAAACTAACATGGCTAATTAGCTATCACCACTGAGCAAAAAGACCACCCATGGCTTTTGAACTTGCCCTGAATGTTACTAGGGGTACCTTTTTTATTCCTCCAATATTATTTGTTCTGCTCTATCTTACTCCTTCTGCTATTGCACTCACAGAACAGGGGGAGGGGGAGAAGACTCATCAGTGTAGGGTAATGCCCCCACATTGCAGGGAGAAGGAAGAGTTTGAGGTCACCATCTAAGGAGAAAAAAGAAAATAAGAAACTGAGAAAGAGAAAAGATGAGAAAGCAGCTAACTTCCTGTAAACCCTCTAAGTGGGGGATACAAATGGACAGTACTACAGATTTATCTTCCTCATTCACCACCAGCATTTAGCCTCAAAGTTACAAGTAAGCACAGAATCCTGTATTTATTATTTCAAGATTTTAATTGTCCCAGAGCCCCCAACTTTAGTTTACTTCTTATCTTTACAAAAAATGATCCTGGATCCTGATTGCTTCAATCCAGGAAATGAAAGCAGAAGTCCTGGTAAAGACACTGGGCTTGTTCTCTGCTTTGCATCCAATAGGTCCAAAGCTAACTACACCATGCACTTCCCATTTTTCTCCTCCAGTTTGGCAAACCAGTGGTCCACCTGAATCTCCCTGTAAGAAATAATCATTAAATTAAGTTTGACATTGTAGATTATCAAACCAACAAGTGCTTCCTATAATTTGACACAAAACAATCATAATGTGTCACTATTGTCTCACCAAGAATCATATCTGTAACCCTGGGCGTGACACTACCCACACACCCTCACCTGAATAGTGGGATCCTGGGGTACCTGGTAGCCAGTGGCCCTACCCAGCTCTCTGGGTAGCTGCTGCAGGGTCCCCAAGTGGAGAGCCTCCCCTTACAATCAACCTTGCAGACCCTTATAAAACTATTTATAGGATTTATTTGCTACATCTGCAGGGCTCTGCCACGGGCTCTTGGAGAGATGGCTGTGGGGAGATCCTTTCCCTGGTCTCCAGCCTGTCTCTCACCCCCTCTCTCTCCCCTTTGTGTTCTCCCCGGGAAAACTGTTCCCCTCTTTTAACCAAGCCTCTCAACCAATCCCAGGCCAGGACTCTTCCCAGACTTTTCCTAAGGTCTCTCATTCAAACTCTGCTGAGGTTACATCACTCCTCCCACTTGCAAGAGGGCTACCTCCAAAAAAGCTTCACACGCCCTCAGGGCAAACAGTGTCCCTTCTGGGACAAACTCTGTCTCTTTGCACTCTGTCCCTCTGCAGGGCAGCCCTTCCTATTCCTTCAGGTGCGTCTATTTTTAATGCTGCTACGTATCTAATTTGCTTTCAACAGAGAAGTTTCAACAGCCCTTGTCTTGTGTATTGAATTGCACCCCTTAAGCAGAAAGGTGCTCCATCTTATACCAGTGAAATTTGAAGAACGCTGCATATGCAGCTTCATAGAGAACACTGCTCTGGAAGACAGAGGCAGCCACAGGGAATTCTGTGGAAAATCCCAAAACTGCCTGGTCGCTGAATTTAACACCCTGAAGTTTTTATAGAGTTTGAATTAGCAGTTGATTTTTTGTACCTGGCAGGCAGCAGGAGGTCCACCAGCATCCCTGAATCCAGCACAGATCATCGACTGTCGGACTCTGTGTCCCCAGAACTTCTGCAGGCGACATGTGTTGAAATCTATGACTGGTAACTTGGCCTGATTCAAAACTCTAGACAAAGTCAGGTTTTTATTCCCACCTTAAACAGATAAAACAGATGAGAAAAGTGTACATGAAGAACACTTCCAAATTTGTTGTGAACATTTCAAAGGCTACAAAAGGCCACTTAACAGCATTCATGTATACAATTTTGTGATCTTGGTCTTTGTATTAAAGGAGTGGATTCCCCCCATGCTTTCTTTTTTAACTAATTAACATTAATTTTGTCATCCATTCCACAAACATAACACACTATGAAGCTACATTTCTCACAATATGAAATTATAATATTCTGTTATAAAAGGATCTAACTATACCTTTAGGGCAGGACAGCTCATAACAAGAGGTTTGCACTTGCTTTACCTGGTCTAGGTAAAGAAATTCCAAGGTTATCAATATGGCATAGGCATAATTTGGTATGCAAGATCTTTGGGATAGGGCTTTCATGTTCAATATGTTAGTAATGTGCTTGGCACAGATGTGGCACAGATCCTGACTGGAACCTCAAGGCAATATCTAATTATAAAAAAGTAAGTATAGAAAACCAAGGGAAAACCTTAAACTAACCCAAGGGGTTGTTGTGCCAATATCCAGGTATGTACGCACTTAACCACCAGCTCCTACAAAATATATTGTAAACTGCTTGAAGCAGGGACCATCAGCTTCTTCTGTGTTTGTACAAAACCTAGCAGAGAGAGGTCCAGGTCCCATAACTGAGACTCTTAGGCTATGGAGAGTTGTTACATTTATGCTGAAAGAAACACCTTTCTCCCAGCACCAAAAGGTGGCATACAGCCATTCAAAAGGATTTTCATGCAAGAAAATTGGGTCTTTCACAAAAAAAGAGCAGTCCAAATCAGGAAGTTTTCTCTCTCAAGTTTTCTAGTGCAACTTTTAACAACTGTATATTTCTCTTGGGGGGAGGGAGAGCACCATCTCCCCAATGGCCCACCCAGTGCCAAACTTTCAGAAAGCCTTTCAAGGGCCCTTGTTGCCTCTGCTTGGACAAAGCCTAGATTATTCCAGGAGTTATGGGGTTGTTTATGCCATGGTGCCAATTCCCCCCCAGCAGGTCATCTTATGTTTGTGCAAGTGATAGAAGGCATTCCCTGTACTCTTCCACATCCCCCCTCCAACCATGGCTCAAACTTTCCCCATAGTTTGACCTATCTCATATGTCCCTGGGACACATCAAGCCATGGGATGATCAGCAGAGCCCAGTGGGAGTGGGCCAGCCTGAGGGGGAAAGGAGTCGATGAGAGCTGGTTGTATTATAAAGAAATCTTACTGAGCAAACCTGATGTGCTTGAAGAATACCAAATGTGGCAAGCAACCAGGTTGGCGTAGCAGAGAGCTCTTCAGTGAACTTAAACATAAAAAAGAAAGCTTACAAAAAGTGGAAGCTTAGACAAACAACTTGGGAGGAGTATAAGAATATACTCAGGCATGCACGGATGAAGTCAGGAAGGCCAAAGCGCAGTTGGAATTGCAGCTAGCGAGGGACGTGAACGGTAACAAGAAGGGTTTCTACAAGTAAGTTAGGAACAAGAGGAAGGTCAGGGAAAGTGTGGGTCCCTTACTGAATGGGAGAGACAACTTAGTGACAGATGAGGAGGAAAAGGCTGAAGTACTCAATGCTTTATTTACCTCAGTCTTCACAGGCAAGGTCAGCTCCCAGACTGCTGCACCAGGTAGCACAGTTTGTGGGGAAGATGAGCAGCCCTCAGTGGTGAAAGAACAGGTTAGGGTCTATTTAGAAAAGCTGGACATGTACAAGTCCATGGGGCCGGATGCAATGCATCCAAGGGTATTGAGGGAGTTGGCTGATGTGATTGCAAAGCTCTTGGCCATTATCTTTGAAAACTTGTGGCGATTGGGGGAGGTCCCAGATGATCGGGAAAGGGCAAATATAGTGCCCATCTTTAAGAGAGGGAAACAGAGGATCTGGGGAACTACAGACCAGTCAGCCTTATCTCAGTCCCCAGAAAAATCATGGAGCAGGTCCTCAAAGAATCCATTTCTAAGCACTTGGAGAAGAAGAAGGTGATTAGGAACAGTCAGCATGGATACATCAAGGACAAGTCATGCCTGACCACCCTGACTGCCTTCTATGATAAGAAAAGTGGCCTTCTGTGATAAGAAAAGTGGGGAAAGCAGTGGATGTGATATACCTGGCCTTCAGCAAGGCTTTTGATACCGTCTCCTACAGCATTTTTGCAAGCAAGCTAAGGAAGTATAGGTTGGATAAATGGACTGTAAGGTGGATAGAATGTTTGCTGGATTGTTGGGCTCAACGGGTAGTAATCAATGGTTCAATGTCTAGTTGGCAGCCAGTATCAAGTGGAGTGCCCCAGGGGTCAATCCTGGAGTCAGTTTTGTTCAATATCTTCATTAACAATCTGGAAGATGGGACAGATTGCACTCTGAGCAAGTTAGTGGATGACACCAAGTTGCAGGGTGTAGTAGATACACTGGAGGATAGGGCTAGGATTCAGAGTGACCCAGACAAATTGGAGGATTGAGGATAGTAATTATTCTGCTCTATTCTGCACTGTTGAGGCCACATCTGGAGTACTGTGTCTGGTTTTGGGCCCCCCACTATAGAAAGGATTTGGACAAGTTGGAGTGAGTCCAGCAGAAAGCAATGAAAATGGTGAGGAGATTGGGGGACATGACTTCTGAGGAGAGGCTGAGGGAACTGGGTTTATTTAGTCTGCAGAAGAGAAGACTCGGGGTGGGGCGGGATTTGATAGCAGCCGTCAACTACCAGAGGGGTGGTTCCAACAAGGATGGAACTAGACTGTTCTCAGTGGTAACAGATGACAGAACAAGGAGCAATGGTCTCAAGTTGCAACAAGGGAGGTTTAAGTTGGATATTAGGAAAAACTCTTACTAGGAGGGTGATAAAGAAAGCACTGGAACAGGTTACCTAGAGAGGTGATGGAATCTCCATCCTTGGAGGTTTTTAAGGCCTGGCTTGACAAAGCCCTCGCTGGATGTAGTTGAGGATGGCCCTGCTTTGAGCAGGATGTTGAACTAGATGACCTCCTGAGGTCCCTTCCAACTCTATTTTTTATGAGGCATTCTCTCATGGCTTGACCCATCCAAGAGACACCTGGGACAGATCAATCCACAGGGAATGCCCAGGGCCCTTGCACAAAACCAGTATGACTGTGATAGACCAGCCACAGACCTAGCAGCTCGGGATGTGAACACAGCCCCATTTCACTCACAGGGGAGGAACAGGGCCAGGGAGCATGCCCACTCCCTGGGAGTGTCTCTCCCCTGCAGCCATGTCCAGCTGATACTCATACGAATGATGCCTTTTGTCTTCTATGGAGGCAGAGGGAGCAAAGGAGCAACACCCTATTGCCCTCTGGCTAGTGAGCTCACCTTTGAAGCAACTTTGTTGCTCTCCAGCCAGGGGGTTAGAATGCCTGTATGTATGCCCTCCCACAACCACCCCTCTTTTCACAATTTCCAGCACTGGGATTCCCAGAAAATGAACACCTGTCCCTAGCTGTAAGTTCTGTCACAATACAAATAAATTAGGGGTGCACTGATAAAAATATTTTTGGCTGATACTGATGGCTGATTATTAACCAGCCAGATTGGCCAATCTGATTGCCGATACACAGCCCAGCAGCATGGAGACCAACACATGGCCAGTAAGTCTGTTGGGGGTAAGGGGCTTGGGTGGGGTGGCAGATCAAGGTCCCCATGGTGAGGGAGGGAATGGGGCTGGGGCTGGCACTACCCAGATGGGTCGGGGTGGAGATGAGGGTGGCTTGTTTGGAGGGAGTGGGAGGTGGGGAAGGGCCACAGGAGGGGTAGGCACCTCCCTGCCACTGCATGTAGTGCGGGGAAGTCATAGGGGTCATGTGCCCCCCAGATTTGTGCATGGGGCGAGGGTGGGTTGTGGCTGCAGACTCGGGG